CTCTCTCTCTCTCTGGGGCCTCCATTTAGATGGTATAGTAAAATGCGGACAACTCTAGCAACTAGAGAGAACTAACCTAACAACTAGAGAGAACTAACCTAACAACTAGAGAGAACTAACCTAGCAACTACAGAGAACTAACATAGCAAATACAGAGAACTGACCTAGCAACTAAATAGAACTAACCTAGCAACTACAGAGAACTAACATAGTTGGACGGTTAGTTGTAAGCAATCAACGCCGGAGTCAACGTCGACGGTTTTTAAAATGAACTAAGATTAAAACGAATATGGACTCGATTTACTAAAATTGATTGGGCCGAAATAAAATCGAACATATGCTCGATTAACTTAAATGGGCCAAGTAAAATAATTGGGCTCGCGCAAAAATGATTAGGCTCAAATAATTTAATTATTCGGGCTTGGGTACACTTAAATAGAATTCCGATCATTCCAAGACTCCGTGAAAAACACAGCCTAAACATGATTGGTTAGCAAATGTTCACCGTTATTTGTAATTAATTTTGATTATAAATACGATTTCTATTGTCATTATTGGATTTTGCCCTTTGTTTTTTGAAGTACTTTCTGGCCTTCCTTCCTATCGATACAGAGAGTTGAGGAATTTGATTGGAACCGAGCATGGCGAGATTTCTGTTGAAGGATGAAGCCAAAAAGTGCCTCTTGAATAATTCCAGGTACGTGTTTAGAAAATTCTTCTCTATTGAATCCAATCCATCGATCCGCAACAATTTCCCCAAACCCCAATTCTCATCACCTCTCGACAAAACCGAGGAGGATCAGAGGCGGCTGCCGCTCGTCTTACGCCTTCGAGGTAGCTCCGATTACAACTTCAAGACGTCCTCCCGACGGACAACACCACCAACGCGTTGTTACCATCTCCACAGAAACAGCTCCACACACCTTGTAGTAGAATTCATATCGCGGGCACATGTAATGGAGTGGTGTGTCTCGAGGACTTAGTACACGAGGGCGACGCTGCCCTTTGGAACCCGTCAACGGACGAGTTCAAGCCGCTTCCTCCGACCTCCATCCGACGACATCCAGATGCTGAGGATTTCGACTTCTACTGTTCTGGTTTTGGGTTTGATCCTTTTTCTCAAGATTTCAAGGTTGTAAGATTTGTTGATAATGTCTTTGAAAAGGACCGTACTTGTCATGCCGAGCTGTACTCGCTCAAGTCCGATTCTTGGGAGGATATAACCAACCCTATTCTTCACCTCCTCACGCCATGGCACGATCCTTGTGCTTATGTGGAATCGAGTCTGCCACTGGACGGCGAGTCCTCCAAACTGCATAGACGAAATCCTTTCCTTTGATTTTGCTACTCGTCAATTTTCTAGCTTTAACTTTCCGTTTACAAGTATACAACCCGGAGCTTATTTTAGCATGAATCTTTTAGAGTGGGATGGCTTGCTTACTGCAACTTTTTTCCCACACCGCGCTACGGCAACTGGAAAGTCTTTTGAATTTTGGGCTAAGGATCACCATTCGTCTTCATGGACTCACTTATTCGATGTTACCGTCCCGGGTGTTGAGAAACCATTAGGATTCTGGACAAGAGATCAGTTAGTTTTTGAAGGCTTAGATCATAGCCTCAAGCTTTTCGACTTTACTACTCGAGAGGTGAAAGACCTCGATATCTATGAAGATTGCCATAATATCTTGAGATTTATTCCTTGTGTAGAGAGTAGTGTTCAACTCAACAGCAAATCAAAGTCCGAAAACAACAAAGAGGTACGTACAGTGATTTTGGACAAATAATGTTGCTCCTTGATGAATAACTAATTCTTTATTATCGAACTCTGTAGTTTTCTCTGTAACTTATGTACATGACCTTTGACTATGTCTGTGTGGTTGGATGGATTGTTTAGTCATATGTTTTTTATTATCACCTTAATGTTGTCAATACTTGCAATGTTTTTGGTATTCAAAGTAAGGCGCAGATGCAAAAATGAACAAGCTAATTTAATGCTGTGATGTGGAGATCTTTAGTTTCATTCACTCTTCAAAATGAACAACTAATTTGATGATGTGCTGTGGAGATCTTAGTTTATTTCACTGTTACAAGAGTTGTATCTAAAAATCAGGTTTGTGACTAAATCTCAACCCAACAACAAGGGGCCTTTATATATCACATGAAATTCAAGCACAAAGGCAAACATGCTATGAAGATCTAAATAAACTCTATTTTCTTTCTATTTTGAGGGGGAAAAGGAGAAAAACTAGGGACGAGGTAGCTCAAGTATAATTAAGTGTGGCCGATGAATTGTTAAGCAACCCATTACACTCTCACTAGCAATGGTGGAGAAGTTAAACGATAACGCAACATGCAACTAAATGATATCACAACATACAGCCTACAAAAACCAAAGAGCCGATCGTCGATTTCACAAAAGATGCAAGTAGTGATAGTGTATAAAACATTTCAACTTAAAACATACATCTAGAGAACATATCCCGAAACCTTGAAGCGACCAGTCAAGGATTAAGTTCGACTACAGGTAGTAACACACACTCACGCTAAAGAGATAGCAACAAAATAACATCGAAACAGACGGAACAGTTCATGCATCATACATACCATTGGTCAGTAACTAATGGTGAACTTTCACAAGTACAAGAGCCACATTACATCATCAGCACAGCCAGCTGAAACTTAAAAAGAGTTTGTTACTTTGTAACTTATAAACACACAACACATTCAAATATCCTCGTACTACAACTGATACACCATCTTAAATAACCAGTACACAACAATATCCTCGTGTCTCATCTTTCTTGTCTCTTCTTTTCTATCTCAAAAGAACCGAAATTTAAAAACCCTGATACATACACGAAAGCTGGCACAAAACAAAATACATTTTCTTTTTTTTTTTCTTCCCTATATAATAAAATCTCTAATAAATAGTCCCTTTCTTGTTTCTCAATCTGCGGTCATCGGCTGGCTGACGCAGCACCTGAAACGGGCCTTCCTGACAGTAGTCAAGATCTCGGTCTCGGCAGACTCGAGCATCCTAACAACTTCGCTGAATGAGGGCCTGACATCTGGATTGGCATCCCAACAGCGGGTCATGATCTGGCTGAGGGCAAGAAGGCAGTCGCTTGGGATGGTGGGGCGGACCCCCTTGTTGACCACCGCAAATGCCGCCTGCACGGCTGTCATGTTTTGAAATGGGAGCATGCCTGTGATGAGTTCCCAAAGCACAATCCCGAAGCTGTACACGTCTACTTTCTGGGTGTAGGGCCTGTGCTGGATCATCTCCCTGCAGGTTTCAAAGAACACATTGGCCTAAGTATCGAAAACCGAATTAACAAACACGCACACACGGCCAAGTTGAATTAATTAAATTTTAGTTCTAGGTGTGACCGCCTCAAATCAGGCTACTCAAGGGAAAAAAATGGAATACATTCTTTGAGAATCATATTGCAGCTTAAACAGCTTGCTTTAGGGTGCAGTTTATGGAATAGGAAAAGAGACACAATCGCCAATTTCACAAAATTATGTAAGTCGTGATAATGCATAAAATTCATATCATAAAAAAAAAAAAAAAGGATTGGTACTTACGGGGCCATCCACCGATAAGTGCCCGTCTCCGGCGTCATACCCTCGGTCTGCACCTCGATACGAGCCACCCCAAAATCCGCAATCTTGATAGACTTATCAGCAGCTATCAAGAGATTGTCCGACTTCAGGTCCCTGTGAATCAGATTCAGACCGTGCACGTATTCCATCCCCCGGGCAACATCCAAGGCCTGCTTGACCGCCAGCTTCAGTGGCACAGAGCGATTCTGCCTCTTCGTCAGGAACTGTCGAACTGAACCTCCCTTAGCATACTCAGTAACAATGCACCAAACCATCGGTTTACGGCACGCACCAATAAACCGAACGATGTTCGGATGCCTCAGATTAGCCAGCATCATCACCTCCTGCTGGAACTGCTGCTCCATCAGCTGCGCCCGCTCGACATCATTCTCGGGCTTTTCCAGAAGCTTGATCGCAACATCCTCACCGTTGTAAGTGCCTCTATACAGTTTCCCAAAAGCCCCCTGAGCAAAAGCAGGCCCCATGTTGAGCTTCCGCAAGTCGATCGTCCACTCGTCATAGTTTCCAAGGTCCCCAGTGGGGTAGCTCGGGTCCATCAGAGCCCGGGCGAGGGCATCATGACTCAGCTGGGAGGCTCGCCCATTTTGGTTGTTACTAGCGGCCACTGAATAATCCCTTACCCGTTTCAAGCCCTGGTGGCCCAGGATGCGGGTGTTCGAGCCATTGGACCCCTCGCTACTGTTGCCCATGGACATGGCAACAGATCCCCCGCCGTTGCTCATCTGCAGGCTACCGTAACTGTCGACCGACATGTTCGAGCCCTCATTGAGCTTGCGGTAGAAGTTCTGGGAGAAGTCATAATTGTCATGGTTGGTGTTCAAGTCTATGATCCCGGTGAATTTCGGGCCTTCCAACATTTTTATGTGTTCTTAATCTTCTTCTCTTGATTAACAAAAAGAGTCGGGACAGAACCTAGGGAAGAATATTCTATATCTTGCGCATCCACGTATCCAAGAAAAATCTCCGTCAACAGAATCTACAAACATAATTCATAAAGATAGTGTTAGCGAGAAACTAGATTTCTTCTATGTGTTTTACCTTCGAAAAGTAATGCATCCATCAATGGAACTGTATCCAATTAACCCCTAAATATGAAATGCATCGAGCATCAATCGGAATCTATCGTGAAAAAAGGCTTACGAGCGAACAATAAATATCTTTGAAATATGAATAAAGGGTTTTCTGATATCACAAACACAAAGGCAAGATCACACTTGAAGGCTGTCAAGATATCCTACAGAACTGCATACACTGAAATCCCAAGCACTTTATAAACCCGATACGAAACTCGCAAACAAATTGAAAGACCAATAAATAACGATCGAGCTCTTTATAAATCCGTCTTTCCTCAAATTCACTTGCATCTCTTCAGTTGACCTTAAATGCACTCAACAGAAGTCGTCTCACCATCAAATTTTCTCTTTATCCACAACGATCAGATTCAAAAACCCAGCCTAAAACCACAAAAAAAAAAAAAAAAAAAAAAAAAAAAAAAAAATCTAGACTTCTGCACTAGTGAGCACAGAACCCCAATCCACTTCCTAAAGAAAAAAAGGGGATGAAAACGGAGTTGAATTTCTCCCCCAAAAGCCCCTGAATCCACATTCAATGAACAGCGAGAAAAACATATAATCAAATCATAAACATTACGAATTACAGTTGATCCGAGTACCAAATCGAGAAACAAACGGGTACACACCTCGATCGACAAGTCTAGACTTTACTCTTTCTCGGGTTTTATCGCAAATAAAACCCGATCGAACCCGGATGAGGCTCGCTGAACTTACAGCTCCTTACTACTGCTCGGAGACCTTCAGCTGTGGCGGAGCAACCGGCCAGAGGTGAAACGATTACGACGGCTCTAGAGAGAGAAAGTCGCAGCAGGGGATTGGAGGAGATAGAGAGAGAAGGCGATGGAAAATGACAAGAATAAATGAAAACATAAAAGAATAAAATTATTTGTCTTGGTCGCCTTTACCATATTCAATTGGAATTTTTACATTTTATGATTTTTAAGATTTGGAATTTTTAAGATTTTAAAATAATTATGTGAAATGTTAGGGGCTTGATTGTTTATGAATTAATTTGTTCAAATTGAGTTATTTTGGTTAACTATAATTAATTTTAAAAAAAAAATGTATGGTTAATTGTAGTGGAATCTATCTATATCTATATCTATATCTATATATATATTAAAAGCCAACCTATTTACTAAAAAAAGTAGCAAGAAAAGTCAACACACATTTAATGCATACTTTATTTGGAAATTTTTTACTATATGCATTAAATGTTTGCATATTTACATTTACTATCCAAATATGATCTTCAAATTTTTTTCCCTAAATAATTTATGCAATGATTTTATTGATATCCATTATAATTAATATTTGTCCAGTAATATTTTTTAATCTTTATTTAATTATATAACACTAATATTTTTTTTAAAATTAATATTATTTATTATTTAAAAGATAATGATCACATCATTAAATGATTTTATTGATGGTTAGATAATAAAATTATAGTTATTCTTTAAAATTTCGACATGTTATTTATTTGTATATTATTGTCAACTATGATAGTGTTTTTATCACATTTTTTTGTTCTGTTTCAAAAATGAACTTATTGTAAAATATTTTTCTATTGCATAGTATGTTAAATAAACTATAAAGCCTTAGGATGAAAATTAGAAAAAATCTCTTGATTATGTAAGGGATTTATTTTTTGGCAATTGCTAAATCATTTTTTTTTTTTTTTTTAAAAGAATTATTATGAGAAAATTGAATTCTAAAAAACATGTGTGTGTATTTTGTAAACATTTATACTCAAAATTTTATTTTGAAGTTCATTACATAAAGAAGGCTACTTCTACAACTTTTATAAATAATAATAATTACATTATATGACTGTAAATTTTATAATAAAATAATAATTGAGTATTATATGGTGAACAATAATTAATAAAATTTTTATTTTTTCCTATATCAATGAATAAATATGTATTCTAATATTAAATAAATATTAATATGACGTGTTAGCGGAATCATATATTAATTAACATGTTAATTTTTTGGCTTAAATAAACGACACGTATTACAAGATGTGAAATATGGATGATCCAAGCCTATTGTTTTTTTGTCTAGACGTACAAGTCCTATAAAAATAATTGATTTATTATATGTATCACGTGCATCGCACGGGGTATGCACTAATAAATGACCTTAAAATTGTGCACCCCGTGCATCACCCGTGTTCACATTTTGGCCTATTACAGGTCACGTACTATATATATCCCGTACATTTTTTTTATTCATTTATATAATTATAAGAATGGATAATGACCTTAAAATTGTGCACCCCGTGCATCGCACGGGCTCTGTACTAGTATATATAAAAAGAATTATCATTTTTTAAAAATAGTAGGTCAAATTCTGGTCAAATCTCAATTAGCATTAATTACATTCTATACTTAGTATCTTCTTTTTAAAAAAAAAAAAAATCAGCATTAAACGCTACCCTAAAATTATGGTATTTGTTACTTTTCTTTCAAAAAATCGTGCTACCATAAAGAAACAATATTACATACCAGAAATTTCTGCTAACTAAAGTGTTTTGTTTGGAAACTATTATATTTTAATTAAAACTAATTACGGTTGATTTAATCTTGAAATGGTACAACAATTTTATATTTTTAATATGCACCCTAAATTTATATATTTTGTAGATTTAATTTAGGTAAATTTCGACTGATGCAAAAGTCAATTTTCTTTCTCTATTTTTATTAAAAAAAACTAATTAAAATAAAATCAAGAATTTTGAATTAGGCAAAATACTATCATATATATCTTTTACTAATTGCAACAAGTCAATTATTTATTATAAAAATCGGATTGCATAGTCGGCATGACAATTTTGTAAAAGTCAAAATTCTTTCATTTTTTATTAAAAAAAATATGTTTACCTTACAATCGAAAATTTTGATTTAGACAAAACACTATAACATGTATCTTTACCTAATTGTAAAAAATCATGTTTATTAAAAAAAATCGGATTATATAAAAATCGGGCCAAATTTCAAACTAAAAACTAAAAATCTTTTATCATTTGATTACTACTTTATTTAATTCGGACTCTTTTAAACATAAAACAAAGTCATATAATATTAATTTGAAATTCAAAATGAAATCGGATTGTAAAATCCTAAATATTTGGGTTTTGTTTAATTATCTAGAATACAAATTTGAAATTGATTGAATACACTTACAAAATAAATAATGATTTCATACACTTACAAAATATTGTATATATTCTGCTAAATAATTTAATCGATTTATTTAAGACTATCTACAATCTTAATATAATTTGTGGCTATAGACGATGTACCAAAAAGACCAAACAAATAATTTTGTGTACAATGATGTGTTTAATAATATATAACGTTACATTATTTTTCATTTCAATATATGTATTTTACGTTTTTCCAATAATCCAAATTTAACTGCTTACCTTAATAAAACCAGCTCGTGCATCGCATGGGTACCACACTAGTCTATAGTAATATAAAGAGGTTGTTGGAAAAATACAAAAATAGTATGTTTGACTTAAAAAATAATACTTTGACTTACTAATTTAAGTAATAATTACTACTTTAAGTAATAACCATAGAGGTCCCACACGTTAAATTAATTAACATAAAATTAAGTAAAAACATAAATCACGTAATCAATCTTTCCATCCATCCTTCCATTTCGAATTTTGTTACACAATTTTTTTGGATTTTGTGAGATTTATTCTTTCACAAATTTCATAATTAATACAAATATCCAATGATAATTGAATCACAAAAATATTGGAATCCATCCTTGCATTTATAATATTGTTAAAAAAAGGTTCACGGAATTTTTGGGATTTTATTTTTTCATACCTTTCATAATTGTTACAAAATTCGTTAACAAATTGAAACGAATCTGTAGGAATTATTTTGTTCACAAATCTCTATATAAATTGACACCACACTTAAAAAAAATAATTCCTTACCCAAATTATTGGAATCCATCCTTGCATTTCAAATATTGTTAAAAAAAATTTAATAGATTTTGTGGAATTTTTTTTCACACATTTCATAATTGATACAAAATTCCTTACCAAATTGATACGATTTTGTAGGAATTATTTTGTTCACAAATCTCTACATAAATTGACCCCACACGTAAGAAAATAATTCCTTACAAAAAAGATTGTCTATTAATGCCTTCCCAATTTTAATGGGAATTTGTTCAATATATCACACGTGTTTCATGCTAAATGGAAGTAATCAATATCTCATCCAAATTAATTCCAATTTTGTTTTAACTAATTACAACAAAATTTGTGCGACTTCAACTACATTGAAGTAATCAATCTCTCATCCAAAAATATCTGATTTTGTTAACTAAAATGCTACAATATTTGTACACGCTTTGCACATTTATGAAAAAGATCCTATTGGAATTTATGGGATATTCATAATCACGTAATTCGGATATTATCCCTTAAAAGGATTAGTACAATCCATAAACCCGTATTATCTTTAAATCCCCAAATCTTCGTATAAATAAGAATCAAACCTATATAAATATTAACATTAACAGTCTTGAACAAAGTCGTATATTCGAACTCATAGAACAATGTGATATTATTCATATCACTATAAATATCCTATCTTTTTAATGCATTCATCGATTACATTCACACTCATACTCTCAGTTCCTTCTACATAAAATAAAAAATAAAAGAACGCACTCTTTCTAATGTTACTTTGAACGAATCACAAATAACTCGGCAGCACATACAAATCGTATTTTGTAATTAGCATATA